GTAAGTTAGCTATGTTAATTATGGGTTGATTTTTAATTCTGATCTGTGTAGGTAGCTCTTTAATAAAAAATTAATAATAATTAGACAAGCTGTGAACAATAGAATTAAAACTCAAAGGAACATGAACATACACCAATTATGTTAATGGGGCAGGCTCAAGGCTAAGCAAAAGGTTCTTCATTTGAGACGTGGGAAATAACACAAAATGCTCCCATCAATCTTTTGGGATGGTAATCATTACATGAGTAAGCTTCAGGTGCTGGAGAATAGGGGGCAATTAAGCATCTCAGTCACCTTCCATAAGCTTGTGCCCATCTGTTTAAAGTATTTATGCTGAACTACTTTAGTAATAACAACAACATAGAATTGTAACAGCAGATAAGATGAATATATGAATGAGGGTCCTTGTAAAAAGAAATTTGTGGTATTATGACCTGGAAGAGCATGAGGACTAATTACAAGCAATCAAATGAAGAATTTTTACATGGTGATATTGAATTGAAGAGAGCCTTAGAGTTAGCTATTTTGGAATATTCTGATATATATATATATATATATCGTAACATTTTATTATATCTTTGAAAGTAAAGGAAAATGTCAAGGTGTTAGGCTAGAACAGGAGTATTATTTCAGTGAGACAATATGTTGTTTGTATAATAAAAATATAAAAAATGCACATAGTACTCTAAGCAACATCTTTCTAAAGCCTTAAGTAATAATACTATAATCGAATAAGGCTTGGAGATGGCTTGAATGGGTAATGAAGAAAACTTTAATATGACAAAACCTTGTTGAAATGTTGTACATTTGCCATTATGTTAAACTTATATTAAAGTTTTCTTCATTACCCATTCAAGCCATCTCCAAGCATTATTAGTCTCAAAGTGTGTTCCTTGTCATCAATTTCGAATACTATAATCTGTTGAATATTTTCATACTAGTAATACCAAAAACTTGGTTAAATTTTTGACATTTCTTAATAATCACACCTAATTTGTTTTTCTATGCAATGCCAACTGTCTTTTCCAATAACTAATTCAATTTCTAATTTATATTATTGTATGTATTTTATTGCACAACAGAAATATTTAAAATATATAGATAATTATATTTGTTTGGCTTCATGTATACAACACAACATTTCAAATAGTACTTAAATTCAGATGTCTAAGTGCATTAGAGACTAGAAATCATTTTATGAATAGATATAATCATAAACTCCAGATAAGTAAAGCTTTTAATTTAGCTAACATTTTGACATAGCCTGATTAGATACCTGTCCAATGCTGACTTGCTTGGGTTGCTTCTTTTTTTTGTGGAAAGTGCTGTTGCCTATTTTCATTGTGGCAGATTTTCTCCTCTTGAGACTCTTCCACCTTAACTAATTAAATTAATCAACTCGTCCATCTTGCATATATTCTTTGGTTGAGTCTGACCATACTCTTTTTTGTTTTTGCATCTCCTCTCCCAAGTTTCAGTATGTCACTGCCTCTTTTTTGTCACTGGTGTTTTTGGAGATTTGATAGACTGATGTGGACTACACCTAACATATGTGCCTCCCATTGCTTACATCATTGGACAGTTTCCTGGGCCTCTGGTTTTCACCTCATTTCTGTTGCTATTCTCCAGTGTACCCAGAGGCTTTGTGTGGTTAGTTTGCCTGTTGTGTTTTTCAGTCATCTCCATGTCATTCATATGTATCATGGTACTTTCATGTATACAAAATGTTTTTTGTACACATTCCAATACTTTGCAAGCTCTTCAATGAAAAAAACAAACAGGAGGTAGCAAAAACTCACTAGATCAAATGTTACATGAGGAACTACACCTTATGTTCCTTATTCTTAGTGTCATCAAAACCCATTTAGTGGCTGGCATTGCCTCACAGGGAATACTTACCAAAAATTCTCATCAAACTGAGGAGAATGTAAAGTGTTAAACCCATCTGTCCCTGTTCAGTGCCTACTGTTGATATGGGATTTTCTACAACACTGTTTTGGCATTCTATCTCTACAATTGACATGGTCATTTCCACCCCTTTAAAAAAATGTATTGGGTGTAGTCCTGTTCTTACACCTGATTTGTTGTAACTTGTTGCATTGCCTTTCAGTGGGGACCAATTCTAGATTATTGTACCTAATGAAAGTGGTCCATGCACACACACTAATATTCTTTCCAATCAAATATCTTACGTGACTTTAACCAATTGATGTAACTGATACTCTTAGGTAATCTGTTATATCATTTAATCAATTTAATTGCCCAGCTGTACTTGAGACATGAACAGGGAAAATTGTGTTAGCATTTCTGGCAGCAGTTGCTTGTGTAGAAATAACACAAATTTCATAATTATTTCCAACATGCCATCATTCATAGGAATATCTAGCAGAACATACATGTAGCAAAGTTGTTTTATACTAAAACAGTTTATCAATATACACATATATATATATCACTTAGTTAAATGTAAATTCATGAAAAAAGAAAAAAAACTGTACCCACAATACAAACATCCAACATTGGGACACAAATCATAAGGTGAGTCATTATGTAATGTGCCCTGATTTTTAGATTTGTGGCAAGAACTGTGGTTAAAGAATGTTTTACTTAAATAGATAAACTTGTTGCTGCTGGATTCATTTTATTAACATGTTTTAATATAACAGCAACTAGATGTTTGTTTTCAATCATTATATATATGTTCAATGGTTTTTAGCACCTCCACTTTAAAAATTGTTCCAGCGTCAATGGCAATGTTCAAACAATGGTCAGAATATTAAGGTTGTTTATTAACGGCAGTGTTGTTTCCCTTACTACAAAATTTGGGGTAAAACCATTTCTAAACCTATGTTATAACTTGTTTATTTCCAATATAAGGTTGTTGAAGTAAAACACATTGTGGTACAAACTGGAATGTCAATAGTACATGTAATATAAATTTGAAGTCATTCGTACGCAGCTACCAGGTTAGAGTCAGTGATGATTCTACAGATCTGGTATTGGAAAAACACACACTCCAAGTGAACTGTGTTGTACAGTATGGTGTAGTTGGGTTGTTTTGAGTTCATTGGTGCAGATATTCCAGCTTGCTGTGGCTATAATGTAGCTATCACTTAGTGAAGAACTTTATCAAATTTAAGTTATATAGAAATATTAGTGATGGGCACATTTTCTTGAATATACAACTATTGATTGTGATCTATTATAAGTTTATATATTTTTTGCTTGTTTTTTAGTAATGATTATTTCTATGAATTTTTGAACTTGTTTCTTTCAACAACATGGTTGTTTATGGAAACGATTAGTTGTGAGTGAAATTAACTATGAAATTGAATCTTAAGGGTAACATATTAAGCTTTGGAAGCCTAGGTCTAGACTAGATTTTCAGTAAAAGTATTTTTGAAATTTAGATATTAGTAATTATAGTTATTATTAGTTTAATTCATCTGATAGGAATATGGTGGTGAAGAGAAGTTTTGTTTTGATTGGTTGGTTTATCACGTGGAGGGCCAATTGTTATGCTACAAATGAGCTTTTGTCACTTTGGTATTGTTTTTTATTGTTAATAAATTTTTAGGTAAGGTTAATCGATATCTATTTTGGAGTTTTATTTATTTATAATTCAAAGGATGCAAAAGCTAATTTTGAAGTGATGCAACAAGAATTATTTGTTGTGAATTGGGAAGCTAAGTTATTTGGAGGCACTGATCAAATGTGGAAAATTTTTAAATATTCAAAATAAACATATTCCTTGTAAAAAGAAAAAGAAAAGGGTGGCTGCAAGTAAACAATTTGGCTCACGAAGGGTATAAGGGATAAAATTAAAGAAAAGCATCACAGATTTAAGAAATTTAAATTGACTGGTTTGACAGGAGATTTAGAAGATTAACGAAGATCAAGAAAGTTGGTCAAATAGGAAATTAGGACATCAAAAAGGATGTATGAGAGAAAAGGTTGGCTGAAAATATAAACATTTAACAGCAAGGATTTCTTTAAATACATTATAGGTAAACAAAATGTTAGGATGGGATATGACCCTGGAGGGATGAAAAAGGAAGGCTTGTATCTGATAATTATGAGATGGCTGGGTTATTGAATTCTATTTTGTCTTCAGTTTTTGCTAATAAAGATTTAAGCAATATTTCTCATATTGAAAAGTTGATAGAAGGAAACAAGATAAATGTATTAATTCAGAACTTACTGAAAAAACATTGGGAAGTTTAAAGAATGATAAGGCTCCTGGATCGGATATATGAGCCACTTGCTACTACTTTTTATAAGTCCTTGAATAGTGGGTAGGTGGCAGAGGAGTGGAAGTTGGCTAATGTTACTCCTCTATTACAAGGGAGGTGATAAAAATTGTCCCAGTAATCATAAGCCTATTAGTCTTACATCGATTGTGGGAAACGTTTTGGAAAGTCTGTTAAAAGATGTTTGCAAGGTCATTTAACAAAGTTTAAAATCTTATTGGATAGTCATTATGGTTTTATTAAGGGAAAATCGTGCCCTACAAATCTTTTGACAATCTTTGAAAAGGTTACTGCTTATGTAAATGAGGGTAAGAATGTAAATTTGGCATATCTGGATTTTCAGAAAACATTTGACAAGGTGCCACATAAAAGGCTTGAAAGAACATTTTTTCTGTGGGGGATAAGTTAGCTAATTGGGTAGAAGAATGGCTGGATGGAAGAAATTTGAGGGTTGTTATAAATGGATTGATGTCACAAGTGGGGTACTCCAGGGCTCAGTCTTAAGACCTTTGCTCTTTTTGATTTACATCAATGAGATAGATGAAGGAATTTTCAATAACTTACTTAAATGTGCTGATGATATTAAAGTCTTGGGTGTTGCTTACTGTGAGGAGGATGTTGCTGCTTTGCAAAAGGATTTAGATCATTTAGTGAGTTAGGCAAGTAAATGGCAAATGCTGCTTATGTAGATGAGGGTAAGAGTGTAGATTTGGTGTATCTGGAATTTCAGAAACCATTTTACAAGGAGCCACATAAAAGCCTTGAAAAAATTTTTTCTCTGTATGTGTGGGGGATAAGTTAGCTATTTGGGTAGAAGAATGGATGGGAAAAATTGGAGGGTGTTTATAAATGGAGTTCAATCAAACTGGATTGATGTCACAAGTGGGGGTACTCCAGAGCTCAGTCTTAGGACTTTTGCTCTTTTTTATTTGCATCGATGACTTAGATGAAAGAATGGTCAATAAATTACTTAAATTTGCTGATGATATTAAGGGCTTGGGTGTTGGTAGCTGTGAAGAGGATGCTTCTGCTTTACAAAAGGATTTAGATCATTTAGTGAATTGGGCAAATAAATGACAGATTGGTTTTAATTATAATAAATGCAAGATAATGCATGTGTGTTATCATAATTTGAATGGGAATAACCTTAATAGTGTCATGAAAGAAAAGGATATTGGTGTAATAGTTTATCTGTCTCTGAAGCTATCCAAGCAATGTGCTGTTCCTAGTGGTAGGGCAAATAGGATTATAGGTTGTATCTACAGAAATATTGAATACAAGTCTAAAGAGATTATAATTTCATTGTATAGGTCATGCGTTGGCTACATTTGGAATACTGTGTTCAGTCTTGGGCTCCTTACTTTGGAAAAGACATTGAATTATTGAAAAGGGTTATTAGAATGGTGCTTGGGATGGAGGAGTTGTCATACGATGCAGTTAATTTAAGAGAAGGCTTGTTAAGTATTTGAATGATAAGGGCTAGCTTTGAGTGTTTTATTATATTTAATATATTGCGTGGGACAGTCTAGATAGACCAACAGGTCTCTTGTTGTCCTTAAATTACATGTATATATATATATATATATATTATATTGTGTAAGATATTAAAGTGTAAATATGCTTGGATTTGATTTTACTTGTATACAGTTGATAATCCAGTATTTATTACAAAATCTATTGCATCTGTAAGTCAAATATTTATGATATAATTTATATTGTGGAATGTTATAAATAACCTCCTTTTTTATTTATTTACAAGATAAATTGATATCCTTTTGTGTTTTTTCTGGGTTCTTTTAGGCTCTGCTGTTATTCATATACTAGAAGCAAACAATTAAAGAGATGCTTGATTTTCAAGTTTAGTATGTTAACTGGCACACCTTATTTTGCTTTGAAGAAACTTTCTTCTTTCTTTTTTGAAAAATCAAAGTTTTTAATTGCACTTCAAGTATACTTGAGAAAGATGGAGATAACTTCAGACAGTTCAACTAGCCTTGATCCACCTCCCTGTGTCAGAGGAATGAAAGTACTTGACAGGAATGCTTTTAAAAAGACAATTAATGTTCCTTATTTTGAAATTAATTCATCTTCCACAGCAGAGACTTTAAAAATACTCAGATGTTATTTACTCAAGCTAGAAAATTTCAAACCATTGCAAGTAGTTGAGACCAAAAAACATGTTATATTAAACCCCCTGAAATTTAAGGATTATGATGTATTGACTGAAATTAAGAAACAGACATTGGCCGATATTGGTGTTACAGAAGAATCATTGAAATGGAAGAAGTTGGAGTTGAACTATGAAAATTGGAAAGCAGAATCAATTCTAAAATCTGTACTGCCTTCTAACTTACCTGGTGTTTCAGGATATAGTCTTATCGGTCATATTTTACATCTTAATCTCAGAGAACATTTGAATGAATACAAAGAGTTGATTGCTCAGGTACTCTTAGATAAAATAAAAGGTGTTACAACTGTAGTCAATAAAGTAAACATCATTGATTCAACTTACAGAAACTTCAAGATGGAGCTTTTGGCTGGAGAGAACAGCATGAAGGTTAAGGTGAAAGAGAACGGAAGTACATTCGAATTTGATTTCTCAGAAGTTTATTGGAATCCACGTTTATGTACTGAGCATGCCCGGATTGTTGAGAAGTTAAAATCTGGTGATACACTTTATGATGTTTTTGCAGGAGTTGGACCTTTTGCAATTCCAGCAGCAAAAAAGAAGTGTAATGTTCTTGCAAATGATTTGAATCCACATTCATTTCAGTGGTTATGTTCTAATTCCAAGTTGAATAAAGTTGGACATTTGTTGCAGATGTACAATCTAGATGGACGAGATTTTGTTAGAACAGTAGTTAAACCTCATATTACTGAACAGTGGAGAGAGTGTTTATCTAAAATTCCTAGAAATTTCCATGTTGTTATGAACTTGCCTGCTTCAGCTGTTGAATTTTTAGATGTCTTCAAAGGGTTATTTGAGGATGAAGATGCAAATGTTAGAGATAGTGCTGTCATGCCTGTAATACACTGTTACTGCTTTACCAAGGAAGCAACTTTAACTAAAGCTGCTGTAAGTATGGTTGAGCAGGTATTAGAATGTTCTTTAACTAGTGATTCTCAGTTGGAAGTACTACATGTAAGAAGTGTAGCCCCAAATAAAGAGATGATGAGAGTAACATTCACAATGCCCAGAGAAATCTTGTTCAAGAATAACTGTGAATCAAACATAGAACCTTCACCTAAAAAGCTACGATTGAATTAGGAAAAAAAAAGTAATTAGTAGTTTTAATCACTATAGCTAATTTCCTGATGTATTGCTTGACATGTAGATCTACAGAATTATATCTGTTACAATAAAATGTTTTTTTTTATAATCTTTTTGTAACACCACACTTTATTGCATGCAAAATATGAAGCAAAACGATATTTAAAAACATTGTTAAAGTCGTACATTTATTAGTTGCAGGATAGTACATGTATGGTGAAAAATATAATAGCTGTTGTATTTTTATTGGATAGTTTTATCCTTTGTAATAATATTTTGGTTTTTGTATTTGTTTTCAATAATAAAAGGGATAAAAGAAATGTCAGAGTAACATGATGGGTAATGTAATGATAGGCTAAAAATGTCTTTGTTTGACTACGAAATAGCTTGTAGAATAGTGTTTTCTTGTATGCAAAAGGTTCTTGGGTTCAAGTCACAATCTCAGAGTTATTTTTTCCCTTCATTGGTAATATTCATTACAGTATTGTGAAAAACACAATTTAAGAAACATGATCAAATAGTATTTTAATTTAAAATATTCTCCTAAAATTTCATTTTGACGATAGAGTGAGAAAAATATGTATATGACATAGAACATTAAAAACTTGTACATGTTTTAATGTAAAATGTATCTTCAGCCTACTTGTTGTGATAAAAGTGTGTTATCAAAAGATGCATGTTGAACCTCATTGTTTTTATTAGGGTATTTTCATGGATATAAATCTAACCAAAAATATAGTACATTCTGTGACAGTTCAAAAGAGGAATATGTTGCATATTATCAGCTTTTGGAAAAAAAAATTTCATTTTGTCATTATTACACAAGTGATTAGGTTTCCTTTGTTTTGTGGAGTATTTGTGTGTTTGTTAAATATCTCTTGTCTGTGTTTTTTATAATTTGTTAATAGTTTCTGTAACTACTTTATTGGGAACTGGTTTACTTTAGTAAAGCATTGAGATAAGTGAACAAGTTCGTCTATGTTTTCTGTGGTACATATCAAGGATGGGCGAATACTGGAGATCAGTAATCAAATACAAATATGAATACTTCATATTTTAATTAATACGAAGACGAAAACAGGAAAAATTCTAAATATACTAATACATAGGAATGTATTGATGAATACTTTGTCAGGTAATATGCAATAATGATAAAATAGCAGACGATAAGATTTCAATACTTATATTTTTCAAAATGCAATGACGAAATTTTAGAACAAAACATTTATTTTTAAAAGAGAGTTATAGATATTTATGAACATCAATCTCTCAAGTGTCTTCAGTGAGGTGACAGTGATAATTAAGGTCTGAGAGTTTTGCTAAACAAATGCTCAATGGGAGCAGTGAATGCTGGAACACCCATGACTAGTAGAAATAGGGTAAGAAATTATTTTATTGGATCTTCCAATAATCTAGAGGATTGCCTTCTTCAGGAATGCAAGGACCATCGAGGTAGGTATTGATATCTGTATCCTCTGAAGATGAGGTGGCTGGTTTCTTGGAGGCAGCAAAGAAACTAAATAGCTTGCTTCTTTTTTGAGGGGGGGATTCACAGTCCTCTTTTGGTTCCATGGTTGTAGGATTATTTATTAAAGAAACTTTCTTGCTGCAGGAGCATTTGAGTAAATTCATAGACCACAGGTCTAGTGAAACACCAGTCAAGTTTAAATCTGAGATCCAATGCTGCAGCCAAGCAGAAGACACTTTGTTGCTCATACTGAGTTAGCTGGGCATGAACAGATTTCTTCAGTGCAGAGACAAATTTGAAATTATATCTGTACTGAATGCTATCAATCTTAGTCGTCAGCTCATAAACACATGGCACTACATAACTGGAGGTAACAATTTTCTGACCTTGGGTGAAATCTGTTACCTTTTCAAAAGATGCCAGTATTGTTACCAAATCTGCAAGCACAGTTTGATCGTGAAAAGTAACTTTCAATGTACCAGAATCTAGATTATCCAAATTCTCCTAGGGAATCTCCAATAAAGACTTAATCATCTTAATTTCTGAGTTCCATCGTGTTGCTGTTACCGACTGAACTCTGATCAGTTGCTTGTATTGATTTTCGAATGTAGGACATGATGGCTGATGCCTTTGAAATTACTTTCAGCAGTGGTCCAGCTTTTTTCATGACATCTCTGACCACAAGCTGTATCTAGCAGGAAAAGGTGGGGTCATTTTCAAGAAGAAAATCTGATAAATTGTCTGCTGATTTAGATTTATCCAAAAGTTCATCTTCTGAGTCACTATCTGTAGATGAACTATCACAATCTCTCATACCAGGTAGTGTTTGCGGTTTAAATCCAGGCAAGCAAAAAGCCTTGATCATGTTCAATGGTTATTAGATGTCACATATGATACCTTGTTGTTGAGATTTGTTATTTCATCATATTGAGCTGCAATGTTATCAGATGTGTGATGCCCCTTGAAAGGCCTACATGCCAGTATGACTGTTTGAATTTTCGAGTCGGGTATAAAATGACCAGTGACTCCATTTGCCCATTACTACAGATATCCACAATGACATTAATGTTGAGTACAAGTTATAGTAGAGAGATGACTTTTTTTTTATCTTCATTAAACTTGCTCTCGATCATCATTGTGGACAGATGCCTGTGACTGGGAAGAATATACCGCGAATCCATGGCTGCCATTAAATCTTGAAAATCTTTTAACTCCAACACTGAGAAGGGTTGCAATGTACTGGCAATAAAATTAACGAGTTTGTTAGTGATGTGCTTCTGACGAGAATGTGTAGACTTGCATTTAGTTGATTCTGTACAGTACGCTGCTGCACCTGGGCGGAAGTACCAGAGCCAGATGTAGCCTTATTTCTCTGCATCCTGATTACGCTACAAATATAAAAGTATATATATCAGTTATATCATACAGAATATAGTTTATAATAAAAACATGTAATGATGAATATACTTCAAAACACGAGAAATTTAGTTCAATTATAGATTATAGTGTATCATAATAAAAAAAATATATAAATATCAGTTATGCAATATAGTGTATAATAAAATCATATAGTACTAAATAAATGAAAATAATAAAAAGTATAGTTTAACACGTATGAAAAATTTAGTTTACCTATTGTATATCGTATAATATAGCTCATATTGGCAAAGATAATAAAAAAAGGCTTACCTTCAGATGTGTCGGCAAGTTAGAAGTAGTTTGCTCACTATTTATACTTTGACCAGATCTAGTAGTGAGAAGTATGAAGAGTTCATGTACCACTGAAGGCAGTTTAGTAGCCATCTCAAATTCTCTCAAGTGACTTGATTGGATTAATAACCATGTAATACAATAACTTTTAAAGTGGTTGGACAGTATTGGCCTAATTTAAAAATCTTATTAAAATAATAAGATTGTTATAACTTAATCGAATAAATGTTTGAAGTTAAGCATAAAGCTATCTGTACTCTGCCCACCACGGGTATCGAAACCCGGATTCTGTGCCACTAAGGGGGCGAATAAACGGAATAGTAATGTTATGTTGTATTCTGGATGAAGTAAAGTAGGTGACATTTTGAATGACGTCGCTAGAGTTAAGCTTGATCAACATCCTACTGACTTTAGAGAAGCTAAATTGCAGGGATAGATATTAAAATTAAGAAAAGCTAATGTCCTAAATTTGACATAATATTCAAAAATTGGATCATCTCGAAGTCATCACTGATTTTTTTTTAACTTCTTAAGAACATGATAAAGGCTATTCATTAAGAACTATAGTTTTCAATAACGGAACTTATAATAATGCATTAATATATTTTAGCAAGTTTTCTGAAAGACTAAATATGAATACTTCTTGAAAGATAGTGTTACGTCTCCGCTCGTTAGTTAATTTTCCGTAAATTCGTTCCGACGAAACTTTAGCGATACAAGTCCTTTCT